TCCTAGCAGGGTTGTACATCATTATAATGGACAGACTTTCTTTACATGACATATACCAGGATTACATTAGAGAGACAAGGTGGAGGAGATAATATTTTTTATTGGACCAACTTCTGTTTGAGAAAGACATGATTTCAGGCTTACACAGAGCTCTTATTCAGCATTAACTTGATGCCCATTTCACAACAGCTCTTAGTAACTAGAGGAAAAGCCAGTGAGGTAATGAAGTCAGACTTTTATGGAATGTAAGGAATAAACCAGAAAAATGGACAGGGGCTTGTTATTTAGTTAATGTTTATTCGATCTTTAGTCAAGATTAATGTACTTTGAGGTGGTTACTTGACAACTCATACAAGCCTATGTTTAAGGTTAAGAGAATGTTACCACTACACACTGGGATACAACATTATTTTGCTAATGTTTCTTTTATTTTCTGTTGTATATGACTTTGTCATGTTGTGTTGTAAATATCATTTGAAGAAGAAATATTTTAGTCTTTTACATAATATACTAATTTGAAGTGTCAGAAATGTTGATATAATTAATATTAATGTTTTGGGGATAAACAGGACTTCAATCTCCAGTGCTGTCAGTCCAGAACTTTTCAAGACCACAACATTTACTTATTAATGTACTTATTAATCCAGTTGTTTACGAGTGAGTATGTTATATTGGTAGGCAGACTGTATTTAATATCTTCTAATCAAGTATTAGAGTTTTGTTCTTCTAATAAACTATTAGAGTTTGTTTTAAGATTTTTTGGCATGAATGTTTTCATTTTCTCCTCTACATTCTTTTCAGATAAAGGACTAATACAAGGATTTTATTTTTTACAATAAAAACTGAATGTCACAGTTCCCAAAGTAACTGCACCTCTAACACTTTCAGGGCCATAATTTTGTCAGTGCAAGATCCCCCAAGCCAATCTCTCCAAACCAGGAACTTAGCTGCAGACTCCTATAGTTCATGGTGATTATCTCAGCAGGTCTTACTTCACTTCAACACCTGTAATCCTGTCATCTCAGGGGCAATGACTGGGTTAACCAGTGACCAGCCAGCTGTCACAAAGCAAAGTACTACTTATACAGGTATACAGGCTAAAAGCATTAGAGAAAACATATCTTTAAAAAGAACACAAAAATCAGTAAACAGCTTACATGCAGGTCTTTGCTTACTAGCCAGTCACCCATTTTCCACATGGAGACCCTGATAGGAATAAAGTACTTCAGGACCATTCCACACAGCTTGTCCCTCTTGCTCACAGTTTCGCTTAGTTCTTGGATCAAGTGACCACAACCTTTCTCCCAGATCAGATGCTTCTAAAGCATCATATCTGTATCACTGATGAAAGCAGAACTGTGAGGGTTCAGAGAAATTCATTGCAATATCAAGTCTGCTGGACTAAGCTGAGAATGAGACATAGCCTCACGCACTTCTAAATCACCCAGGTTAAAATCCATAATAGTAGCACATGATGCTTTCCTTCACAATTTCAGAGGAATGTCTCATCTTTGGTCTAGTAGGTTTCAGGCTGTAATTGGCATTGGATCCTGCAAAATTTGTTCTCACTTCTCATCCCTAGTTTACTCACCAGTCATAATTTGTTGTAACAGGGATGAGAACCAATGAGGAAGACAATTTGTGAGGGAAGGGCAAATACCAACACCCTAATTTTAAGTTATGGCAAGGAACCAATTGGGCCCCGTGTAACAACCATGCAACCCATCTAACTCCATGCACTTTGGGTCCGATCCAAAGCCCACTGAAGTCAATAGAAAGATTGCATCTGACTTCGGTGAACTTTGGATCAGGCCCTGTATCATTTCAGTTAATCACTTCAATTGCAAGGGTGCGATTTAGGGTAAAATTTGGACCATAAAGGTCAAAGACTCTTTCATTTCATATCTCTTAAACCATCCATTCCGGAGGGGGATAAGAGTGTAATGAAAGAATCTTATCTAGAAGATTTCCTTTTGTAGCAGAAAGAAAAAAGGAATGTATAAACCATTCTTAAGTGATCTACTAATACTGTATATGCTATATGTGTTAAGACACTATCAACCATCGTAAGTCTAAGGAAGATAAATTCAATGCAGTGTTTCTGAGGCTGCCTTTTGTATAAACTTTTTTTTATTACTGTATTTTCCTGTGCCCGGCAGCACACGATTTACCTTCTACAGGAAGGAACATGTTTGGCTAAGTATGCTGACAATATCCCTGGTAACTTTTCAGTGCTTCAATTAGTGCCATCTCATAAAAACGTATACCAGATTTATGAATGAAAACCATCAGTAGACGCATAGTATAAAAATGAGCCATTGATAAATTTCTTGGTAGTATAATTACTTAATATATTCTATGAGCAACACAAAGGGGCTGTAGAGGGAGAAGTGCATATCTAGCTACAATTCAGATTAGTATGTGCATCTTTTTTCCTCTCTCCTATGTCATTCCATATGTTGCTACTGACTGTAACATCCTAGAATAGAAAAGATTTCTCTTTCACTTTTCTAGGAGCAATATGTTTCAGAATGAACCAAAACCTCTGAAAGCCTATGTTAGCATAAGCAAAACTCTACTTACCAAAAGGCCAAATTCTGGAGTGTCTTTGTAGATGTAGCACAGTTGGCCACCTCCTATGCACCCCCTCACAGCCAGGGGAGGCCTCTGCAGTTCTTTGTTAATAATTTCTCCCTCAAAGGGCTTCTTACAGACTCCACATACTTTTTCTAAGGTCAAAACGCCCCTCTTTGGGATCTGGGTTGATTCACAGAAAATAACTCAACATAAAATTCAAAGTCCCACAAGCAGACATTATTCTTCTTACTCCCAGGCTTCCCTGCCTGGAAGCTTGTGCAATCTTTCCGTGGCCTGATCAGAGTCTCTCCTGCATTAGCAGGCTGCTCCCAGCACCTTCCTGGCTGGAGTCTTACCTCCCAAATCCCAGGACTCTTCTGCAGCCTGCTCACTCCTAGCAATTTCTGTTCTCCCCCACCAACCCCGTCCCCACCACTCAACTTCCTATTCTTTTGATCCTACGAATACTTGATTCATACCAGATATGACTCACCCTCTTAATCAGGGTTGGCTTAGCCACAGGTTGTCCATGCCATGGACCAAGCCACCCTGTTACAGTACCCAAGGGAGGCACCAAAAACAGTTTAGTGGGTGCAAATGGGGCAGCAGTGACAGTGAAGACAAAGAACACAGTCTAAACAATGCAGACAAATAGTCAGGTGCAGTTGTCTCCATCTTTCAAATGCTTCCCATGGCCTGTATTGCTGGCCTCTTTCCAGATTTGCAGGAAGGTTTGATTGTTGGGACTGAGGGCCCTATTCCTCTATTTCACTTTTTTTTTCTTGTGAAACAAAGCCCTTTTAAGTAGGCATTACAGCTGTCTCATGCTTTGTATTTAAAATATGATGGGGGAAAAGGTAGAGATTATTACAACAACAATAATGGGCAGTAGCAACTACCCCAATATTCCTTTGGCATTCTTAATTTAAACCCCCATGAGGCATCTTAAGGGGAATAGTTATCCATACTTTTATTCTTTTTTGTTCCTTCTTCCCCCCCGGGCAAGGGAGACTAGAGAGAGTTAAATTGCTAATACAAGTAGAACTTGGTTGTAGTCAGTTATCTCTTTGATGCAGTCTTGCTATTTACAAGGAATGTACAAAGTCCTGTGTCTCTGAGAAGGACCCAAGAACAAAAAGGAGCAGTCTCTTAGTTTACCAGCACATTAAGCCCTTTAGCCAACACCAGACCCAAAAAACCCCCACTCCTCTCTAGCTTTTTCCAGGGTCACCCTGTGCTTACAGGTTGCTGGTTGCCCTTTTCTTGCCTTTGCCTCTCTGTTCTTGTCTTGTCAGTATGTGTGTGTTCTCTCACATTCCCCCACATACTTACCGAAAACAATACTCAGCCCCAAAAGCTCCTCAGCAAGTACACACACCTTTTGTCTTTGTTGGGGCTTTCATACTTATCAAACTCAACAGGGTTTTAACCCAGCACATAACAAGGTTTTACCCAGCTCATAATAATAATTAACATAGTATACGTTTATAAGATGGAAGTTTCTATCATTTTTTTTCCTTTTTAAAAATACCTAACACACATTGAGTATATGAGTCTCAAATAGGTTCCTAAAAATGGCTCAGATTGATATAGTGCAAGTACAGAGTTTCTTACTTATTGGATGGTGATGGGGTTAGGATTCCCCACATTTATCTATGGTATGTCGTCTGCATCAGTCTCTTATGTGAATGTGTAAAGCACACTAGATATCTTGGTTGTGTGGTGCCAAGTCTATTTCTGAATCAGGAGCTAAACCAGCTCTCTGCAGCACAATGAAAATTTGCAGTCTTTATGAGATTATGTATCACTTCCTGCAGTTCAATACTTTTTCTAGACTTAAAAGTCTCAATTAAGGGAATATTCAAAAAGAATGCACTAAAAATAGTCTCCCTTGCTCCTTTTCACTCTAGAATTTACTATGTTACTGTGTTCCTACTATGGAAATTCACAATGAACAAACAAATATTTAGTTTTACAGTTTTCACCCTCAGCAAAATTTTTTGTTTAATTTAAATGATGTGGTATCCTAATGAGTATAATCTGAATGTTAGGAAAGCAGAGTGTTTGACTAAATCGACTACCATTAATTTTTAATTTAACATTTTTTCTTAAATGAAAATATTCTTCTGGAGATCATGCTTACTGAACATACTCGTGGTTCCAGTCCCACACAGTATTTGAATTCCATAAGGTGTGTGGGAGGCTTTTTTAAATCCACATAATTTTGTGTTATTTTTTTACATGTTAAATTATTATCATCAGATGGAGGGGAAATTAAACATTCTGAATGTGTTAAAAATCTCTCTTCTTGACTCCTATTACCAACTGCTAACTACTGCTAAAACTCATCCAATTTTGGAACACGAACAACCTTGATAACATCAGACTTAAGACAAAATAAAAATAGAGCTTGATAAACTACGTGAATTGAATTCCAGTATTTCAGAACACAGTATAAAGCTTTTATTGCCTTAACAAATGTAACTCAATGTATTAATACTTCAAAGACTTCAGTTAGCTAGCTAGACTTTGCCTAACTATGCTTTTATTAAGAATATCCAGAGCTACAGTCATCATGGAAAAGAGGTGAGCAAAATCAAGTCTGATTTTTACAAAGCATTTGGAATTTTTTTTTTTTTGCCGGAGGGATGGGGTGTGGGAGAGGAAGAGCAAGAAGAATACTGTGGAAATTTTTCACAAACTTTTACCTTTGTACCGTTTTCCCCTGCCCTATATGATGCATATATAATGTACAATTAGAATTCATCTAAGTCTGGGTGGGAGGAATGTTAGGATGGAAGACAAAATGATGGTTAGGGTTTCTCTTTCTTTTTTGTGGGAGGAAAAGAGAAGAGCAAATATGGATATCACATTGCTCATTTGGCTCCTTGAAGGTAAACAGTAAACAGTGCCTCTTTCATTATCTGTATTATTTGTTCTGCTATAAAAACTATATCATGACATATGGCCCCTTATAATTGTTGGGTTTTATCAATATTCAGTTTTTTAGTTTATTGTTATTTGATTCTTAACTGCCAGCATGCTCTCGTTTTTATTGTATTTATTTGTATTATATTTATGTTATCATTATGTTAGCTATAGTCAGAACACTATCTTTTACATTGAAGGGACTTTCCTAGAGCACAGCTCTACACAGTAGGTGAAATTCACCTAAGTGTGGAAGGCTTTTCGCTTAGGGGCTGTTCAAGGGTGATCTGGCCATGAATCCTCTAACATTGATCTGAATCAGTGTTTATTCAGAATAAAAAAAGTCAATAATATGGTATTCTTTGCTCACCTTCAGTATTACAGGGATAAAGACTGCTGGATCTTTATAACACTTTCAAAATAGGGTTATTTAATATGTGAAATATGGAATAATCCCCTTGATCGTTAATGCTGGGGAACTGACATGTGGACCCAGGAGGTCTTATGCAGGAAGCCCTATATGGTTCCAGTTCTTCGCCCCAACTCTGGATTGGAGGTGGGTTTCAACACTGGAGAATAAAAGAAGGAGCTGACGACTGTAAACATGCACTTGTTCAAAACTCCAATGAAGTCAATGGTTATATATATATTATATATATATATAAAAAAAAATACACACACACACACACACACACACGCATACATAGCATTATGTGATGTAGTCGCTAGTCTCTACTGACTATTAAATTTTCTAAGGATCAGGTGCTTACCCTTAAGTGATGTGGAATAGTGCCTTTCGCCATTAAAGTAAATGAGACTGTTTGAAGGGTATATTGCCACTAAGCTTGAATAAGGGTATCATAAACCAGTCCTAGTTTTGAACTGAAAATTAAAAGTAAACAAACTAAAATAGCCTATACCTATGCCTGTCAGCTGGCCTGACAGCTACAAATACTTGAACTAGAGATCTCTTGTGGATAGCTAACTAGCAAGATAGATAGATAATATATTAGAGAGAAAATGAATGCTGCCTTTTTGACTACAAGTAGAAAAGAGATCATATATATTAGAAACATAGGATGTTTTAAACACCAAGAGTCACAGTCAGCCCTGGATTAATGAAGCGTCAGATTAAAAAAAACAGTAGGTTCTTAATGTCAGAAGGTCTCACTGCAGGTCATAAATATCTGGGGTCTATGTGACTATTTAACGTCATTCTGTTTGTAAGCTTCTTATAATAACAGTGGTTTCCTCAAGAGATCATTAGCTTATTGTGTACCTAACTTAAGTCTGCTACACTTAAGCTACAGTAAATATATTTCATTTCCCCAAGGAACAGCCAGGTGAAAGCGGTTAAGTAAAGTTCAAATGGCTGTTAAATTAAAAATAATAAGAAGTAAAAAAGTTATTTATGCCCTAACATGTCCAGTGAGACCTTCATCTTACACAGCCTCACAAGCATGTCTTAATATTCAGAACAACAAGCAGAGGGTAGAATATATTATTTACTTTTTTATTACTATTAGTTGCATTGCCATTGTCAAATTCTACCTTGTAACAACATTCTTTCAAAAGGATGGCCATGGAGCTTTTCGGTGCCAAATGGGAGACTAAATTACGATACAAAGAGTTAAAATAAAAAGGTTTGCATGCATAATTTTCTAAAGGCCAGATTGTGATATCCTTACTCACATTGGCAAGTACTCCCCAAACAGTCCCACTAATGGGAGTGGTCACTATGTCCACTCAAGGGTTAAAGTACTATTAAACAATAGCAGAAATATCACAATCTGACCCTAGGTAACGTGTTCCTCTTGTTCCAATCCTCGTTCTCCCTTCCTCACTGCTCTTCCACCATGTTTTTCTTGTATTCCCTTACCTTGCTTCATGTTTCTTTGTAGACCAATATGCTCTTTGGGACAGGGACTGTGTCTTCTACAGGTCTCAAAGCACATTTTGGGTGCATAGCGGTTGTTGCTTTGCTACTGCTGTTTTTGTCTTCACTGGACTGTATTTTTAATGGTCTGCGAAGGGTATTTAGGCCCTGGTCCTGCACACACTTTTGCACGTGCTTATATTTACACAAGTGAGTACTCTTATTGAAGTCAAAGGAACTACTGATGTGTGTAAAGTTGAGCATGTGCCAAAGTCAGGGCTTTAGAGACAGAGATAAGCATTTTCTTTAGGTTTATATGCTGAAATTCTAATTCAAAGGCAGTCTGCCAATAAGAGCATATATTTTATTTGCCACACTGGTAAGAAACCAAATAAATACGTAAGATTTTGCTTTAGTTTAACATACAGACACTACAGTCACTGGGAAATGTTAAGTTTGAGTTTAAAGTGCATAGTGCAATTAAAATGAACAGCATCTTTGCATGTGAATAGCCTTTCAAGTCATGCTTTAGGCACCAGTAAAAAAGATATCTCCTGTAATTTACTCAGAAATAAATTGTATTGCAAAAACACACAAGATTGAATGTTATTAAGATTTTTCAAGTTAAGTTTTGTAACTCTGCCCCTACATCTCCTTCTCAGCCTTTACCTGTAGACCAGAAACTTCCTTATCTCACCTAACCTATGTAACAGAAGACTGTTCTTTAACATTATAACATGGAGTCTGGAGCCCCACTCTCTCCTCCCACCTCCACATACAGACCTGGGAACCACCATCCCACCCAAAGACAATGTTACTCACCTTGTGCAGTAATTAAAAGTTCTTTGAGACGTCTCTCTCTCTATGGGTGCTCCACTTCCAGGTGCACATAAGCCTCTTGAGCCTTCAGTCAGAGAGTTTTCCACTAGCAGTGAGTGTTTGGCCCTCACATGAACCCTATATTTCCTCGTGATGAATACCAAGGCAATATAGAGATGTACAAGTGAAACACCCTCAGTTCCTTCTCCACCGAAACAACATCTCCACAGAGAACAGTCTGAAGCAGAGGGGAAGGAAGCGTGGGTAGTAGAGCACCCATAGGGACTCACATCTCAAAGACTGCAGTTACTGCACAGGATGAGTAAACTTCTTCTTCTAGCAGTGTCTTAGACACTGGTATGTTCTTAAACAATGCTGTGGGTGTTGCTTGTGACCTGGTAGAATGTGCTATCACCCTTTGAGAAGGATGAATGCCTGAGGTCTCAATACATTCAATGCCTGAGGTCTCAATAGGTCACAATACATCCAGATATCCATATCAGTAGTCTCTGAGCAGAAATCATGGATCCCCAGGATCTGTCTGCAAAGGAGATGAATAGCCTGGGTGAGCTTCAAAATTACTTGGTCCTATCAAAGTAGAAGGCCAGCGCCATTCTAAGATCAAAGGTATGAAAATGGGACTCCTGCAGAGAGTTGTGGCTTTGGGAAAAACACTGGTAGTTGAATAGTTTGATTAAGGTGGAACTTCGAGAGAGTCTTAAATAAGAAGTTAGGGTATAGACCTAAAGAAACCTGATCCTTGAATAATCTTCTAAAGGGGGGTGGATCTGCCATCAAAGCACCAATCTCCCCAACTCTACAGGCTGACATGATGGCTACTAAAAAGGTCATCTTCATAGATAAATGGAGAAGAGAACAGGTTGCCATAGATTTGACTGGATGTTTCATAAGCCAATTATGAGGTCTCAGACTCTAGTCTGGCAGAGATTCCACAAACCCTTAATAAACTTAGATGATACAGGCTGGGAAAATATGGAAACCCCTCTATGGCTGGATGAAAGGTTGATATTGTGGCCACATGGACCTTAACTGAGCTAATGGATAATCCCGATTTCTTCAGATCCATCAGATAATCCAAGATGACTGAAAGAGGCACAGATCCAGGCAGTAAGCAGCAATGACAGCACCACTGGCAGAATCCCTTCATTTCTGCAGGTAAGTAGTACGGCTTAATCTCTTCCTGCTATTCAATAACTCAAATTCTCTTCCTCAGAGCAGGAGGAGTCTAACTCCATGAACCATTGAGGAACCACACAGAGATGGAGAATTTCTATTTTGGGGTGAAGCACATGACACCCATCCTATGAGATGAGATAAGGAGTATACAGCAACTTGAGCAGCCGATAGATGCCTAGATGAAGCAGGTAAGGGTACCCAGCTTGTCTAAGCCATGTTGATATTATAAGGATACCCCTGTCCCATCTGATTTTGTTCGTCATCCTCTGTATCAGTAGAGTTGGAGGAAATGCATAGAGCAGACCCTTCTTCCAGGACAGAAGAAAGGCATTGCCCAAAGAGTGCTACCCAGACCCCCTCTTGAGCAGAAAAAAAAGGGCAGTTCTTGTTCCTGGAGATGGAGACGATATCCATCTCCAGAAGACCCCATCTTTGGAGTATGATGTGGAGGACTTGAGAGTCTAGCTCCCACTTGTAGTCCTATGAGAAGTGTCTTATGGACACCGGGTGTGGTGTTCTGAATGTGTAGGAGGTACACAGCTGAAATTTGGATCGGACAGGCTATGCATTAGTTCCATAGCTTCATGGCTTCAGCTCCTCTCTACTTGTTGATATACAACATACAGGACAACTGTCCATCATGACCCTGATTGATTTGCCCCGATGAGGGGCAAAAAATGGAAGTAGTCAATTCTGGCAGCCCTGAACACCAACATGTTGATGAGATTGGTTTCCTGAATTGTCCATCTGCCCTGAGTCATGAGAGCATTGAGATAAGCTCCTTATCCCAACAGTAATTAGTCTATTCTTAAAGATAGTGATGGAGCTGGATGACAGAAGGGAATGCCTGCTCACACACTGAGTTGATCTTTCCACCAATTCAGGAAGCTCAAGTTCAATCTGTGTGTTCAAAGTGTCTCTGATTGGAAAATAGGTCATTCTTAGCCAAATTGACAGCAGTGGAGGCATAGTCTTGTGTGATTGGTCACAAAAGTACATGTTCCCATGTGTGCCAGGAGCTGAAGACAGTTCCTTATAGTGGTCTGAGGATTCCTCTGAATTATCCATGCCAAACCTGACAAGGTTATGAATCTGTCAAAGGGAAGGCAGGCTGTACTTGTCAACAAGTCCAAAGAAGCTGTATCCTGTTACAGGGTTAACATGGATTTCCTTACATTTAGCTGAAGGCCTAACTCCTGGAACAGAGCAAGGGCCACCTGCGGGAAAGGTAGAACTGCTTCTTAAGAATGGCCCTTGAGTAGCCAGTCATCAAGGTATGGGAAGACCATGATTGCCTCCTGTTGGAGGTATGCAGCCACTACCGCCAGGACCTTGGAGAACACTCTTGGGGCAGAGGAGAGACCAAAGAGAAGCACTCAGTATTAGAAATATTCCTGGTCTATAGTGAATCTTAGGTATTTCCTGTGAAAAGGGTGAATCAGTATATGGAAATAGGCATCTTGTAGGTTGAGGGACCAAAAACAATGCCCCTCCCCCGTGAAGGAATTATAGCTGCCAAAATCACCATTCTGAACTCCTAAAGAAGTTGGTAAAGCATCAGAAGTCTTAGATCTAAAATCTGTCTCCACCATCCATACTTCTTTGGTACAAGGAAATACTTTAAGTAAAACAGTTGCGATCTTCCCTGTGACTATCAAAGAAGCCATGGACTGAAACAGATAAGACTAACTGGAAGTCCGTTTCATCCTCCTCATCATCATCCAGTGGAGGAGCCCACATAGAAAAGGGTGGAGAGTTCTGTGGTACTGGGGAAAGACAGCAGTCTGGAGACCAAGGTCTCAGTACAAAAAGATGCTCGGTACCCATGAGCACTGGGATTCCAGCTCATCCATTGTGGACAGGTCCCTCACATATCCAAACTCTTGCAGTACCGAGTTGGGAATCGGTACTGATATGGTAGCTGAGAATATGGTGGCTGAAGCTGACAGTACCACTGATGTGTACCAATGTAGGTGGTGATGGACTCTGGAACAGTTACTTGCTCGGTTCCAAATGGGTAAGTGCCGACAGCGGGAATGAGCTTGATGGTACAAGACTTATCCTTGCTTTCCTTGTCCCTTATAAAGGGTACTGAAGCACTGTAATAGACATGTCTCTCCCTCAAGCTCTGGGGCTTTCCAGCTCTGCTGGTACTGCACGAGAAGTCCTTCAACTCAGTGGTATGGAACCAAGAAGTTGAGTCTACAGAGAACATAGATCTTGCAGGGGAGCAGGGCTTTTTATTTATGTATTTTTAAACAGGCTCCTTCAGATGAGAGTCCGTACTCTTTTTAGGAGCCCTCTCAGAAGCCTACAATGACCTCCCCTTCTTAGGGGAAGCTTGTGTCAAGGTGGAAGGGGTGTTGGATCTGTCTGGAGACAGATGTATAAGGGGGCAGTCTCCTGACCTGACTCAGACTCTGGTCGAAGTGAGGACTTCATCATTAACAGTCTGAGCTTCATCTCTATTTTTTCTTGCACTTGACTTGAGGGCTAGGCAGAAACTTCACTTCTGGGAGACGTGGGACTCCCCCAAACAATGGACACACTTAGAGTGGCCGTTGCTAAGAGGTAAAGCCTCTCAGCAGGAAAGGCAATGTTTTAAGCCTAACAAGCCAGGTGTGCTTTGCCAGAAAGACAAGGCTCCCCAAGGAGAAAACATACTATCCTCTCACTAATTAATTATAACTACTACTAACAACTAACGATACTAACTAACTATAAGAATACAAAACAGCTGAGACATGCTCAAGGTGGACACTCTAGAGCTCCATCTCAGGCTGAAGCAGTAGAGAAAAAACTGAGGGCGGTTCGCCAGCACATCCCTTATGGCCTCACTGTCCAGCACGAGGAAGCATAGGGAGCATGGGCAGGTCAAACAGGCACGGTTAGTGGAAAAAATCTCCGATCAGGAGCTCGAGAGACTCACATGCCTCTGAAGTGGAGTACCCTTAGGGACACTACTCAAAGAACGCAGCAGCTACTCAACGCCCCCACCAGTTCATATGCCCATGAGGGACACAGATAGCTACCTTTTATTTCTTAGTATCTATACAGAAATGAAAAAGGCCAGTTAAATGTCTGATTTGTGTTTCCCAAACATAGGTCGCATGTCCTGCTGTTCCTGGAATTAATCAAGTATTCAGTGTGTAGATTTGCATCAGGTTGGAACCTCAATTTCTCAGCTGATATTCTGGTCTCCTGTTTAGTCTACTACAATTATTCTAGGATTTTTGCCCTCAGGAGAGTGCATAAAATAACAACAATTTTTACAAGGTATCTTACTGCGATTATCATATGGAAAAAAAGTCACCAACAAGAAACTCTGAGACAAATAAAAAGCAAGGAAAAGACTGTTGGGCTTGTATGGAGCAGTTATTAGGACTATGTTACAGGTTGGAACTCCTTTCAAGTACAGTAGAAGTCATTAAGAAATCACACTCCTAGTCAAAGTATATGTAAAAAAAGTAACTGTTGGCAAATGTTGATTTTTTTAATGGCAATCATTGTGGGCTGGAATCAGATGGTGCAAGTTGGTGTATCTCCATAGACTTTGTGGTAAGATGAGGCCCTGAAACATAAACCCTTATATCAGAGGCCCGGTATGAGGCCTAAGGCCTGAACTAAAGTAATGGTCAAGTAAAGTAATGGCTTTGTTAACATAAATCGAAGTTAAGCTGTGAGCCAGAGGCAGGCTCTGCTCACAGAAGCTGGCAAAGAAAGAGCTGATGTTGCAAAAATACACATACTTAAAAGGAACTGGACACAAGAGATATAAACATATGCCAGGATGATAGCAAAACACTCCGATACTTGTACATTACACAAAGATAACAAAGAACAGGTCGACCCATCCTAAAGACAGGGGCAAATGGGTAATATGATGGATAGAGTTGTTTTGTTCAATCCAACATGTGCAAGGTGAGAGGCAGCACCTTACTACATAGAGGGGTTGTACCTCAATACATCAGGAGTGATGTGTAACTTGTTTGTACCTGTGTATAAGAATGCACCCCTGAGGAGCTGTCTTTGTCTGGCCTGGGGGCAGTGGAGAATCCCGCCACTGACTGAGCTGGTCCATTGTCAGAGAGCACATATGTACTAGCAGAACTGTAGACATCTGATCCAGGCAGCTAGAGACTGTGTTTCATTTGGCAATAAACCTGGCCAGGTGCCTTCATACTTTATCGGAGTCTGTGGTCATTGGGGGTTTTCTCGGGGTCTACTGTGTCGGCGACCTGCAGAGCTGGGGCAGCACACAGAGGAAACACACATGCACGCAGCCGACTGTTATCAACATTGAACAGAGCAGAGCACCACATCGGTGACGTCTGACAACAGCTACATCAATTTACACCAATTGATGATGTGGCACTGTAGATATAAGGGAAGGAGACAACTCCATTGCATACTGTGGGAATCAAATGGAAACAAAAGTACAGAGAAATGTAAGTTGATTACAAACGTGTTTATTTGAATGCCTAATCTGAGTCCAGCATGTGCACCTCTCCACTCCTCTTGATTGCGTATGTTACCTTTCCCTTGCCTTCCCTTTGGTGGTCCAGGTTCCAAATGTAGCTCAGGGCTATCTTCCTCTTGCCTAGATAGGACCCTGAGTCCTTCACTTCCATTCAGGACCTCCTTCCACCATGCTATAAGCATTTAATTGTGTATTTATTCAAGACATCTAGGATTTAGTTATCCTGCCTGAGACTTTCCATATAAAATTAAATTGACTAGTTAGTCAATCATCAGAAGTACTGAAGTGTGTGTCTTTTTGGGGGTGCAGGGTAAGAAAGGGGTAATTGTGATTTCACATTTGGGCCAGTGTTGATACCGTTGATTAATGTCAGCTTGCACTGCTCCCCCCACCCCCAGGTGGATATTAAATCAGCAATACTGCACAGTATCATCGCCTATTGCTTAGATATAGCTGGTTTCCTGATATTAAATGGTCTGGACATGATGGAGGATCTAGCCGATGATAACAGTCCACTGGGATATTATTCCAACACACTGTGCACCCATTTTTCCAGTTGCTGCAATTATAGGATTACCAATTTGTTTACAAATGAGAATGTTCCCACAAGGCACGTTGGTGATGAAAGGTACTATTTGGGGTAATATAACAAAAACAAACTGCTATAAAATGAAAACTATTTTTTTCACATAACAAAGCAGTCATGGTTGATTAGAACTGATTCTAATGCAGACACAGCTTCGCAACCTTTATTCTTTTTATATGAACAGAGTGTAACATAATAGCTCACTCTGCTTCTTCTAATACAGAAATCTATTTTCTGGGCACAGAATTTAAAGAGTCTTGCATAGAGTCTTGGCCTAATTCAGTTCAAGAGGAAGTAGACTGATAACAAATGCAAAGGAGATGCTGCATATGCAAACCAGCTTGCATCCTGAATATGTTTCCACACTATTGACACACCCACTTTGTTCCAAGTTTGTATCATGCTTAGGAGAAGAAAGATTTGTACGTGCAGAGTAGAGATAACAACAATTACATCTGCTTACATCTAATCCTGGCCCCCAAACTCAAATGCACAGCAACTATTTTGGGAAAAAATAATTAATCTTGGCATTGCTTGCTGCAAATGTGGTCTGCTATAGAGATTGCGACACAATGAATTTCTTCATACCTATGCCAGTTCTTTGAAAAGACAGAGAGCCTACTCCTCCACTATAATAGTGGAAGAAAAGACACTCCACAGAACTTGTCCTGACCATAAATTCCTTTGTAAACCCAGACTGCCTTGATTCAACAACAGGACCTCTCCTTGGAATTTCACATGCATCCAGGATAGTCTATTGGAGCCCCAAGAATGATAACTGGACCATGGAACCAGGCACACCATCTTTCCCCCCCCCCCAAGAATTAAGTCCTCACAAAGTACTTATGGAAGTATTCACAATCAAAGCCACCACTTGTGACACTGAGCCTGCTCCTTCCTGGAGGATAAAAGAAACTAGTGAACATGTGGAGATTCTGACAGATTGCCATCTCCTTCCGTGAGGAGGAAAATCTGACCAGCACCAAAGAAACCATTACTCAGCATTGTACTAAAGGTTTAACACAAGAAGAGCTGGACAAATCCTGCTCTTTAGTTCCTGGCCCCCATCACCTGATCTAGGTCAGGGTTACAAATGTGACTCTGTTACATGGCAGAGTGAGGATTCACAACCTCGACCCAACCCAGCCTACAACAGCAGCTAAGGTCTACTGGAACCATGAGACTGTTAACATAGGGCAGGAGGTTTGTGAACGCAGTTTAATGGCAGATGAACATGTGTGAAAATCTGTTCTCTCCTTGATGGCTTATGTCTCCTGTGTCTTAACTTCCCAGTCACTATTCCTCATCTTGCTCAGGGCTGTCTTTTGTTAAGAGAGATTGTCTTTTGAATTTTTAACAAAATAATATTCTACACTGTGGTGTAGCAATGCACTAGCAGTTATAGCAAAAAGAGTCACTTTAATTGTAAACACCCATTTTCAGGCGTTTATAACTTTCTAAAGAAGATCACCTTTTGAAGTACAATTTCTCATGTATGATCTCAGCCAAATAGTAAATTAACTGAAAATTTGGAGAAATTCCATATTTACAGTTTTCTTTTATAGATGGTTACAACATGCTCTACTACCACTGGAGAGCCTTATGGTTAAAGCAGTAGATGGGGTCTCTGGAGATTTGGGTTCAGTTCTTGGTACTGCTACAGATTTCCTGTATGAACTCGGGCAAGTCACTTTATCTTTCTGTGCCTCAGTTCCCAGTGTAAAATGGAAATAATACTTTCTTTCTCCCACGCTTTGTCTGTCTTGTAATATTTAGAATACAAGGGACTTTCATTTACTGTATGTATGCACAGTGCCTAGCACAATGCCCAGATCTTTTTTGGGAGAATTGCCCCTTTGCAAAGCACTTCAAGACTAATCACTGAAAGGAAAATACTATTATTCATAATTATCAATAGCTCCATGCACTTAGCTGCTTTTTATTTGCATCGAAAGCACAGACAGTGCAAATGAACTTGAATATAAGATTTTTTCCTACTGTTCAGTGAGTAGTTCACAGCAAATCAGCTGTAAACCTTTATAAGCAGCAGAAGTAAATGTGCTTCCTCTCCAATTGAACTGTAGCCAAGTGTTGTTAAAGTACAGCCTATTCTCCTCCTGCTTCCCACGAATGTTGAAAATACGAAAGCAATATCATCTCCCCTTTTAAACTCACAGTAATGCTATTAATTTGGAAAAAAGAAAAGGAGTACTTACGGCACCTTAGAGACTAACAAATTTGTCTGAGCATAAGCTTTCGTGAGCTACAGCTCACTTCATCTGATGCATTCAGTTGATTAATTTGAGAAACACAAATATAACTTGTACACAGCTAATACTACCTTCCGCTTGAAGTTACACTGTTGGAGGGTCTTCAGTGCAATGCTCTGAAAATGCTTTATAAATGTTAATCAGTTTAGGCTCAGTCTACTTCCCCCGCCCCTTGAGACAGATACATTCCTTGTACAGATTGATAAACCATGACAGATAGATTGAGTGACTTGCCAAAAGTTATATATCAAATTATACACACCTACAGGAACAGAATTTCAAGTATTAGCTCCCACTCTCTGCTCTAAACCAACTTCCCCTCAGCCCCCCTGAGGCCTCAAAGAATTTTCTGCCACGTATATGTCTGTTCACTATCTCATAAGCCAAAAGACTGTTGGACACTTCAGGTTTTTCAGTGCTTTGTTTTCTGTCTCCACTTGGTGGATCAAAATAAGCAACACCATAAATACTCCCAGTAGCTTGTTTGAATTCAGAGCACGCAGCATTCAGCATTTTACATCACATCCTGCAGTGGTTAGAACATCCAGAGAATAAAAGTAGAGAATTAAATCAGCTATTTTTATGGTTGTTTTATATCTCATTCACTGAAGGAGAAAAACCATGGAAGATAAATGGGATCTTCCTCCTCTTCTCTCCATGATTTGTTTTTCAAGCCTTTGTTTTTAAGCATGGCATATTTGATTGCATTTCCTCCTTCCCATTACACCATTCCAATTTTAAAAAGACACTTTCTATATCCTCTGATTCCCTCAATATCAACAGTTTTTGAAGATCAAATTTACTGCTCTGCTAAGGAAAGAGAGGATGATTAAATCATAGAATGTCAGGGCTGGAAGGGACCTCAGGAGGTCATCTAATCCAACCCCCTGCTCAAAGCAGGACCAATCCCCAATTTTTGCCCCAGATCCCTAAATGGCCCCCTCAAGGATTGAATTCACAACCCTGGGTTTAGCAGACCAATGCTCAAACCACTGAGCTATAAATGTTCAAATTGCAATAATAGTAACTGTGATCAAACACCATTCTTACCATGAACCTAGCAGTGCTTCCCTAACCGGTAAGGGCAGTTCTGAGATCCATGCCATGTTTTAAAGTTGAACTGTAGATTTTGGGGGAGATTAAGGAAGGGAAAATAAAGGTTTGCCTTTTGCACAGTTGGCTAGTTTAAATCTCAGAAAAAATAAATATTCTTGTTCATAGTGGGTCAGTCAGGGAAATTGTGCTAGAGATCAGCTAGCAATGACAATCCTTAAAAACTGTCTGTTAGCTCAGTCTCCACTATGGAATGGAAAAGTCCTACAACACTGGTTTGCCCCTCCAACCTGGTCACTTGGGACCGGAACTTCGTTACATACTGCGGCAAAACATGCTGCTTTTCTTCTCACTGAGGTAAATGAGGTTATCTCAAACTTTCTTTGGAATAATCAGTGGCCAGATGGAGGTTTCTAAGGTTTAGAGGGGAGCAATAGATCTGGGGGCAAGAATCACAGGGTGCATTGAGCTTCCATATCTCAAATTATATCACTAGGATGACTCATGCCGAGAAAGAATTGTAGTGGTTCTCTGATGACTCATATGATGGGTTGCTTGCAGTTGAAGCTCTATGTTCAGTCCCTGTCCTAGGCCCTCTGCATAATCATTTAGTTATGAAGTTTAGTTCATATGTAGGGGCAGGCAAGTTCCTTCACTGAAATTAACTGAAGATGGTTGGTGAAAAGCCTCCCCCATTAAGCATTATGAATGACAGAAAAAAATACACTTGGT